CTTAAACCTGGGAGGTGGAGGTTGCAATGAGCCGAGATCGTGCCACTACACTCTAGCCTGGGTGACAAGAGTGAGACTCCATCTCAAAAAATATAAAAATGAAATAAAATACCATGATTCTTAAAGACATAGCTGAAAATACTCTTCCACAGGCAATGAGAACTGCCCAAACAAGACACATATACAAATTAGTCTTAAAACTAGATGTGATACCTTTAATGTGTCTTCAAAGAATTCTGCATTATAAAATTTGTTTACCACAGAGGCATTTTGTGTTCATTTCTAACAGATTTATTAATCGCCCAATTTTAGTAAAAAACAACCTACCTTTCATACTTGCATATATATTTGCACACATTTCCTGAACATTTTTTTTTTTTTTTCTGTTAGCTGTATGAGTAAGAACAATCAGGATTCGCTAACATACACCAAAGTTATCTGCTTTTGAACTTGTGGTCAGTAGTTAAAGTTAAATATAAAAAGAAGTAGAATTATTTATCTCTTACTATGCCCCATTTCTCAATGTATTTCTAATTTTAGGTAAAACTAAAGGTATTCCACTTAATTCATATTATTTCTCATAGGTGCTTTTTGTTCTCTAATGTTATTAATTGAATTATTGTTAAAATGAATTGTTTCTAAATATGCCTATATGCTAGGATAAAGGGTTGGCAGACTACTTCTCTTTATAAATTAATATTAATTGGAGCCCACTCACGTATATTTGTTTGCATATTGTCTATGTCTGCTTTGCATTATACTGGCAGAGTTGTGAACTTCTAACAGAGACTTTATGGCCCACAAAGCCTAAGATATTCATTGGCCCTTTACAGAACATTTTTGCTGATCCTTGTATCAAAATTAGTGACTCTCAAACTTCACTGTACAGAGGATGACCTTGGAATTTGTTAAAATACAAATTCTAATTAAGTAGGTCTTCATGGCCTGAGATTCTGCATTTCTAAGCTCTAAGATCACATTTTATGTAGCAAGATCATTCATTCTAGAACTTGGCTGCTCATAAGAATCTCTCGTTCGTTGTTTTGTTCTGTTTTGTTTTTGAGGCAGGGTCTCATTTGCCCAGGGTGGAGCGCAGTTGCACAATCATGGCTCACTGCATCCTCAACCTCCTGGGCCCAAACAATCTTCGTGCCTCAGCCTGCCCAGTAGCTGGGACTACAGGCACATGCCCCTACACCGTTTTGGTTTTTGTAGAGATGGGGTCTCACTTTGTTGCTCAGCAGGTCTTGAACTCCTGGGTTCAAGCAATTCTCGTATCTTGGCCTCCTAAAGTGCTGGGATTATAGGTGTGAGCCACCATGCCAGGCCAGGAATCACCTGTTTTTAAAAAGCTGATGCTTTGAGAGGTCGAGGCAGGTGGATCATAAGGTCAGGAGATCAAGACTATCCTGCCCAACATGGTGAAACCCCGTCTCTACTAAAAATACAAAAAAATTAGCCAGGCATGGTTGGCATATACCTGTAGCCCCAGCTACTCAAGGGGCTGAGGCAGGAGAATCGCTTGAACCCAGAAGGCAGAGGTTGCAGTGAGCTGAAATTGCGCTACTGCACTCCAGCCTGGCGACAGAGCGAGACTCCTTCTCAAAAAATAAAAATATAAAAAAAATAAATTAAAGCTGATGCCTAGATCTTACCCCAGAGATTCTGAATTAATTGAAATGGAATATGGTATGGCCTGGACATCAGAAGTTTTAAAAAGCCCTCCAGATGATTCTAATATACAACCTATGTTGAAGACTGTTGTTCTAGACACATGAAAATGCCCATTACGCCCATTTGTCTTTTTTTCACTCCATGCCTATTGCAAAAACAAAATATACCATGTTGCAAAAAGATGGAAAGTATTGGGATTTGTGATAAAATGAAATCTCCTAAGGTAACTGAAATCATTCTCAAAAATTACATACATATTTCAACATTCTTTTTTATAGTTGTATACTTGCATAGAGGAAGAAAGTTTACTGCTTCTTATTATATCAAGGCCAGTATCCAAAACTGAAGCATTATCTGAATCCATAAAGGAAACTTATTAAGACAAAATATATGTGATGGTTGCCTGTTATATTTTTAAGAGTTTAACTGAAGTGATTGCCAGGGACGCGAGTATGAGTGAGCATTTTTGATTCCTGAAATGAATTTGAAAATGGCTTCCCTTTGGAAGAGAAGGCAAATCATTATTGAAAACATCTCCATAACACAAATTATAAAAAAATAAACTTGGGAGTAGATGAAATGAGATTAGCCATATGTTGATAATTTTCATAATACAAAATTTTAAGAGAACAACACTCTTATATCCAGGAAGACGTTCTTTCCTCCATGATCAAGGGAGGCCCTACAGGCACGAGTGGGGACACGTGCCAAATCAAAATCAGGTGGTCACATTACATCAACCAAACCACTAGCAAAGGAAACAGTGTCCCAGGGAAGCTGTTCTCACATTCATTTCAGGAATGAAAAGTGCTCTCTCAGGCCAAGAGAGAGCAGTGGCTCATACCTGTAATCCCAGCATCTTGGGAGTCTAAGGTGGGTGAATTGCTTGAGCCCAGGAGTTTGAGACCAACCTGGGCAACGTGTCAAGACCCTGTCTCAAAAAAAAAAAAAAAAAATGCCCCCTCATATCCCCCAAAACAAAAAACCTCTTAACGTAGTTTTGAGTTCTTCTTAGGATACTCCATTTTATTTCAGGTCATTGAATGCCATAATTAATTTAGGAGTGGTTTGGACACATATTTTAAATTTCATTAAAGAGCTATTGTCATGATAATGGAATGTAAGCTTTAGTGCAGTATTTTTGGCTGGTAAATCATCAATATGTATAAAAATTATATACACCTATACCATAGGGCCTAACATTTCCACTGCTAGGAATTATAATATGAATATAGTTAATGCAAACCTACAAATATATAAGCTCCATATGGACAAGGACCACATTAGTCTAGCTCAGGGGTCCCCAAGCCCCGGGCCATGGCAGGAGGTGAGCGACCATTACTGCCTGAGCTCTGCCTCCTGTCAGATCAGCAGCGACATTAGATTCTCATAGGAGCATGAGTTCTATTGGCAACTGCACATGCAAGGAATCTAGGTTGTGTGCTCCTTATGAGAATCTAATTAATGCCTGATGATCTGAGGTGGGAAGCTTCATCCCGAAACCATTCCCCCTGCCATCCATGGAAAAACCGTCTTCCACGACACCGGTCCCTGGTCCCAAAAAGGCTGGGGACTGCTGGTCTAGCTCACCTCTTTGTTACTAGGATCTCATACAGGGCTAGCATGTAGCAGGCACTTAAATACTTGACATATGAATTGTGCTCATTTCAGCACTGTTTATAATGAGAAACCTGAAAAATTTCTTAAAATCTATTATTAGTGGTCCAAAAATTATGGAACTTCCAAACAGTGAGATACTATTCCAGCTATTAAAAGGGAATAAAGCAAATATATATGTGCTTCAGTGGGAAAATGTCCAGGATATATTATTAAATGGGAAAAAACCCAAGCCGTACAGCAGTGTATCAGTGTCCTATTTGTGTCCAGCACAAAAGAGCTTATACACACAGAAATATGCTTGAATAGGTACAGAAACTTTCTGGAAGGGCACAGAAGCTCCTCAACAGTGAAAACCGTTCAGGAATGAAGATGGAAAGTTGCAGCTGGGGTACAATATATACTTGTCACTTTACATTTTTGTCAGCAATGTCTTAATTTTACCATGTGCATATATAACTCATCATTACTTCTTCCAAAAGCCAAGCCTGTTGATACTGTTGCCCAATAAACATTCCAGAAACACCATCGCCACAGCATTCAGAACTTAGAGCCTTTCCCGTAGATAAATGGCAGTGATGAGAGACACCTGGAGTGATGCTTTCATGTGCAGCAGGTTGTCTCTCTTCTCCCATCTTGCATCACAAAATATCCTAGCTTCAGTAAATTTATTTAGTTGTTTGAAGTATGGTGCTTATAGGGATGAGGTGAGAAGAGGGCACTGCTGGAGAAGCATGGAGGGAAGAGGCTCACAGTCTCTCACAGAAACCTTTCCCTTTGTGTGGGCATGTGATACCAATGAAGGCAGAATTCCCTCACTCACTACCCAGCTTCGTCAGTTACACTCAACTTCTTGCAGTTTCCAGAATGAGTCACTTTTTCTTTTACCTTTGAATAAACTACTGTCTTTTCCAGAAACTTCTCAACTCCCCCAGCCATTTCTTCATCCTCTTTCCCCTCCTCTAAATCCCCCTTCCTGCCTCAGCTCATGTAACATCCCCCTCATGCTTTCATAAAATTGGTATTGTCCATTTGTCTTGTTCCCTAGAGGCTGAAAGCTTGTTGAAAAGTAGTTCATTATTATATGCGTGATGCATACTGTAGCGTCTAAACTACTGAAGGCATTCAGTAGAGTTGAATGACTGAGTGAAAGAAGAGTCACCGGCTGACATGACAGGGCAATGTTCATTTCATCATAATTGACATCTAAAACCTTCGCAAAGTAGATTATGTGTCTCTTATGAAATTATCTAATCTGAAGGTAAAATAGAATCCATATAGGTATTTATTGATATTTCAAGTAATCTGACATAGCAAATAATTTCAGGGACTGTTTGCTGTTTGCACGCAAAGGACTGACTGAGCTGGCATTGTGTTAAAACATTTTATATGTAGAATTTGATCATACTCTCTATACAAATGCTGCATCTTGTCTCCCTTTTAAGTTCAGTTATTTTAGGAATATTAATTATTATAAATTATCTTTTTATGTGCACATTATTTTCTTAGCTGCTTTAATTATACTAATTTTTTAATTAAAAGCTTAACTTAATTTCTTCCAAGTTAAACTAAAAGTTTAACTTCATTTCTTCTAAGCATGAGTGAAGTGGTTCCTGGGATTATATAATAGTCTCTATAAAATTAAAGTTAACTAAAAATATTTTCTGTATTTGAAAACTAACTAGACATGTTTGATTTCTTCATTCAAGGCATGCTGCTTGCAGGGTTTCTCATCAGAAATATCCCAGTCGTCAACGATAATGTACAGATCAAGCACAAGTGGTCTTCCTCTTTGAGAAGCATAGCCCTGTCTATCATCCTGGTTCGTGCTGGCCTTGGTCTGGATTCAAAGGTATGATGTGTAAATTTCTCATTATTGAATAGGAATTTTGTTTCTTCAATACTTCAAGTATCTAATAGAATCGCTAAGCATTAGGAAATGGATGTGGACACTTTGCATGACATTCTTGAGAATAGAATAGAATTTATTTCATGGAGGATTGTTTTGCAAGTAGGACCTTGTGCTTTGCAATAACTCAAAAGATGGTCTCATTTTCTTCCTTTATTTTTTTGAGACGGAGTCTCACTCCGTCACCCAGGCTGGAGTACAGTGGCTTAATCTCAGCTCACTGCAACCTCCGCCTCCCAGGTTCAAGTGATTCTCCTGCCTCAGCCTCCCAAACAGGTGGGATTACGGACATGCACTACCACATCCGGCTAATTTTTGTATTTTTAGTAGAGACGGGGTTTTGCCACGTTGGCCAGGCTGGTCTCGAACTCCTGACCTCAGGTGATCCGCCTGCCTCCACCTCCCAAAATGCTGGGATTACAGGCGTGAGCCACTGCGCCTGGCCGATCTCATTCTCTTTCTTGGGGAAAGGTAGAGTCTGTCTATGGGGCCAGCACCAAGAATAAAGGCCCCACTTTTCTCTGACATAGATATAGACCATGGTTATAAATAATGCTCATAGTGGAGAAAATAACATATTTTTGGTTTGCGAGGCCCTATGCAAGTGTTCAGGGCTAACTATACTAGCTCAGGAAACTGCCTAATATATAGAATGAGTCTCAAGTATGCCTTTCTAATGCTTTTTTTTTTTCATGTGTGTTTTTTAGTACAGGAATGAATTTTCTTGGGGTATTAGGCTCTTCACTTTAGTCTCATTCTGGAACCACAGATTATAAATAAAAATAATGTGAAATTAGCTAGAGATTATGAACACAGATGCTGAAAGCAGCTTGCCTGGGTTCAAACCTGACCCCATCACTCACCAGTTTCATGATCTTGGGTGGATGACTTTAGCCTGTGTCTTTTCAGATGAGGACATCTAAAAAAATGGGGATAATAGTATTACCTATCTTAAAAGGTTGCAGTGAGGACTAAATAAGCTGTCTGTAAACACTTGGAGTACTAAAATGTTTGTTAAATACAACTCATTACCTGGAAAACTCATGATGACCCAGACATTGCCCATATACTGAAGAGAAAGCGTTGAAGGTCATTTTCTCTGCACATCTTCAGAGGATTATATTAGGATGTCTGCTTTTCTGTTTCAGGCCCTGAAGAAGTTAAAGGGCGTTTGTGTAAGACTGTCCATGGGTCCCTGTATTGTGGAGGCGTGTACATCTGCTCTTCTGGCCCATTACCTGCTGGGTTTACCATGGCAATGGGGATTTATACTGGGGTAATGATTGTTTCTTTGTCATGGAAAATATGTAGGGACATTTAGGGCTTTCTCTGATTCCATACAAGAGAATGCATAACAGAATTTTCTTATAGATATCAGAAAATGCAACATAGATGTTACAGCATAATCTAAATATTCTAACTTCAGAATTTTCCACAGGTAACCTAATCAGTTCACAACAGGCTTTACTCTTGCACTCTAGAGACATAGGTTAAAATGTTATAAGCATGACATATTTGCTTGATAATTGATTAAGGTAAATTAAAAATAGGCAAAAGAACACTAAGAGTTCTGCACCTAAGGAGGGGCCAGAAGTTTATATGTTAGTAGGCGCTAACTCATATAGTTAGCTTCTACTATTCAAACTGTTGAAGAAATCGTGGTCTTTTGCCTACACCTGATTCAATGCCTGTTAAGAGAGATACCGGATTCCACCTAAAGTCTGCACAAAGGATAAAAAACACAGCAGCAGTGATCAACACCTACTATTGTTTTCCTCCTGTCATCAGACTATTATGACTTGGCAGTTCTGCCATCTCTTCCTTCCACTGTCAGTTCTTCCAACGGTTAAGAGCCACACAAAGTAAATAAATAAGAAAGGACTTAGTAAGAATTTAGTGCTAATAAGTAGGCAAGAAGTAAGAAATTCTCCTCATGGTTAAGACTCTGGAACTCTCCTCTCTGGATTCAAATCCCAGCCTTGTGATTTTCCAGTGTGTGATCTTTAACAAGTATTTAATCTCTCTGTGCCTCAGTTTCCTCAATTATAAAATTAAAATAGATTGCATCTATCTTATAGGGTTGTTGTGAGGATTAAATTAGCCAATATGTGTAAAGTCCTCAAAATGTTATTTGGTACATAGTAAGTACTGTAAAATGCTTTCAGCTGTTACCACTGCTGTGGTTACTGGTATCAATGTGACTGTCATATCGTTTTCTTCTAATATGTTGCCTTATTTGACATAGCAAGCCCTGATAGAAGGCCCAGCATCACTGGGTTCCAAATCAGAAAGTCCATGCATTGCTTTTCAAACCTCATAACATGAGTTTTTTGTTTAAAAAAAGCCAGCATCCTGGGGCCTACCCTCATTAGGCCTTCTATACCACTAGAAAGTATATATTTTTAGGCAACCTATGTAGTCTGAAGCAGGTTGTCTATGGCTACATTTTAAAAAACAGTGTTCTGTAGAAGTTTTACACATACATGTTTTTCTGGATTCATGCTTCTCTGCCATTTGAAAGACTATAGTTATCCAAAGTATAACCCATAAAAAAATGGAGGGTATTATAATTTCAAAATAGTAATAAGTAAGATGTTATCATAAATATTTAAAGTGCTGTCTGCCTAGTTTTGTTTTAGGTGCTGTATCTCCAGCTGTCGTGGTGCCTTCAATGCTCCTTCTGCAGGGAGGAGGCTATGGTGTTGAGAAGGGTGTCCCGACCTTGCTCATGGCAGCTGGCAGCTTTGATGACATTCTGGCCATCACTGGCTTCAACACATGCTTGGGCATAGCCTTTTCCACAGGTAACCTAATCAGTTCACAACAGGCTTTACTCTTGCACCCTAGAGACGTAGGTTAAAATGTTATAAGCATGACATATTTGCTTGATAATTGATTAAGGCAAATTAAAAATAGGCAAAAGAACACTAAGAGTTCTGCACCTAAGGAGGGGCCAGAAGCTAGCTATCTTTACTCTCTTCCTCCCTCTAGATAGAGACTGCTCAAGTAGCATGCAGTAGGTGCAGTACGGGGGGCAGGGGCGGGGTGGGGGGGGCGGGGGTACAAGGTAGAAAAATTTGAAGAACAGTTTCTGCTTGAAGTGATCCAGGAACGTTCAGGCTTCACACAAAAGATGTGTGGAGACTTCACACAAAAGATGAGTAGGTTTTTCGAGGAGCACAAATGACAGAGAGCAGTCCAAGTGAAAGGAACAGCATGCCTTTAAAATAAGTACAATTTCTCTTCTCTCCTCTTCAGCTTTTTATGGTAATAACAGCAATGATTTTAATGGATGTCCTATTAATATTTAGTAAGTGTCTGAAATTGAGGCATTTTGTTTCAAGTATAATAAAAGAGGAACTTAAGTTATTTTTTCTCCCACTGTTGTTCAACACCTATATTAAACTGATGTGAACGGATACTACACTTGATCTTAGCCAAAAGGCCAAAAGCAGTTCAACACTTATTATCCTGTGGTACAGCACAAATTTAAGTTCATTTCTTAATCTTATGTTCAAAATTGGGAAATAAAATTTGCAACATTATATGATTGACAAAGTATAATTGTAATCTAAGTTTAGCTTCAGATTCTGTAGTGGGAACACATCTTCTTGGCAGGTTATACATTCTTGTTATCTCCCTATAGTTATCTTCCCATTCTATGATTGTGTATGATTTATGCCTGTTACCTAGAATCCCACCCTCTCTCATTGCTCTGGAGCCTGCCTTCCATTCATTCCCTGGTAAATTGATTTTCTCAAAACATTGTTTTCATTACATTTCTTTCTTGTTCAAGAACCCTTGAGGATGCGGATGCTCTGTTACCTATTAAGTCAAACTCATACTCCTATTTCTAATGCTACTACACATATCCAAATTTATGTTCTTACCGCTTTCCTGGTATACACCTTTAAAACAATTTTTCTCAGCCTTAGCATCACACTAGAATTACCTGGGCAGTTTTTAAAAATACTCTTATGTAGGTCCTATCTTAGACCAATTAAATCAGAACCTTTGGGAGTGGAAACCAGTGCAGCTTGGATTAGGAACCACAGCTTTAGAGCAACAGAGTTTGCATTAGAATCATGGTGATGGGAGGAGAAAGGACAGAGGCAGTCAGGTTTTCATAAGCTACAGCTCAAAGAACCTTCCTAGCTGACTCTGCTGTGTTTCCTCTCCCCGCCCCTCCCCCCCCACCCCACCAACTAAGTGTGGTCCTTAGACCTGTTGGATCTGAGCCCTGCCAGACTTACTGAATCAGATTTTTAGGGGTGGGGCCCAAGACATTTTTTTTTAACACCTCAATATATCAGAGACTAAAGCTAATTAGCTACTTTCTACACATTCATAGTAAATTATTACCACAAAAGCTTAAGCATAATGCTACTATCACAGCTAGATGCTTTTAACAGTCATAGCATTACCTGGTAGAAAGCTATCCTTACTTCAGAGGTAATTTTATTTAGATAAGAAGGATGATTGCCATAATAACAACAGACCACAGAAACTAGTTAGTACATTTTTTCTTAGGACAGTCTGTGAAGAAGAGCTTAATGTGTGGAGAAGCTTTAATATAATTTTCTGCACCATGTGCTAACAAAAAAATTTTTTTAATTGAAGTTTCCTAAATCCTATATGCTATGGGGGAAAATATAGGTTCTACTTACATGTTTAAGAATATGGAAAGCAGAAACTGTCTTTAAAATTTTTCTTCTTTGTAATTAGAGGCTTTATGTTGATGATTGTGGAATAAAACTTGTATTTGTTGGACTTAGAGCTCTTAAGTTTTTTTAAATGTATTTTTCAGGCTCCACTGTCTTTAACGTCCTCAGAGGAGTTTTGGAGGTGGTAATTGGTGTGGCAACTGGATCTGTTCTTGGATTTTTCATTCAGTACTTTCCAAGCCGTGACCAGGTGAAAAAATAATATGTGGGAAAGTTGTGCTCTTAAATATCATTGGGAAAACATTCTAGAACACTTCCTTCAAAGACAGATGTGAAGGGCATATTTGTGCAAGTGGTCCCTCATTTTAAAATTGCTTAGTGCCATCCATGAGATTTATGAAGTGGGCTCAGTACGGAAGATTTTAATGCAGTCCTGTAATGGGTTTCTATTTTATATTCTGTACATTTCAAATTTCATTGTAAAACAAATATCAGTTCCAAAGTAATAGGATATGCAAGTTTTTTAAAGTTCATAATACTCAACTAAACCCAGATGTGTAGTAGCTTTTTTGTACCCTTTTTTAGTATCAAAATGCCTTAGATTCTAGCCAGGCCTGGTAGTCCCAGCTACTCAGGAGGCTGAGGCAAAAGGATCCCTCTGGGAGTTTGAGTCCAGTCTGGCAACATAGCAAGAGCCCATATCTAATACATACATGCATACACACATACATAAATCAGTCAGTCATCATCTAGTGCCACTTTGTTCAGTACAGTAGCCACTAGCTACACGTGACTATAGCAGATACAGAACATTTCCATCATCACTAAACATTATGTTGGAAAGCACTGCTCTACTACAACCCACAAAATAGTTCATAAAGAGATTTCTATTACTATGACCATTTTACTGATAAGGAAATTGAGGCTTAGGCAGGATAAGTGACTTGAACAAAGTCACATAGCTAGAAAGCAGTGGAACTGGGAATGAACTCAGGTAATTCACCTTCAGAGCTTGCATGCCTTTGCCAAGTCAAGCACTTTTAAAGACCTACTTTCTAAAGTGATCAAGAAGTTTAAAAGCCTGGACAGGGAAAAGTAAAGGGAAAAAGGTACACAACTCTTAGACTTTAAAACAACAGCAATAAAAACTACTGTCAGTCTAGAACCTCTTAAAGCTTCCTGGTTTTCAGAGATTTAGAAAGAAAAACCAAGGGGGCATCAAATTTAAAACAGTAAACATAGAACCTGAAAATAATAGAGATATATATTTAACCTTCACACAAATCCTATGATGTAAATGCTTTCAGGAAACAAAGCTTGGAGAGGTTAAGTAATGTGACTACTACATACGCCAACAATGTATAAAAGATATAAGTTTAACCTTGGTCTGTCCAGCTCCAAAGCTCATGTACTTTTTTTTCTGCTACTTCATTAAGTCCTGTTAAATTCTGCATTGATAACTGCAGAGGAAAAGAACTGGTGTTCCTGAAAGAAGAGTTCACCTTTGCAGTGTGCTAACTCTGCTTTTGTTGAAGAAAAGAAAGTAAATGTTAGGTAGTGCACTTGTTTTGTCTATTTATATAGACATTTTAATTTTTATTTTCTTTCTAAATCCTAGATATGGAAAAAAATCAATCGTTAAAAATCAGGGATTTGAAATAATGGAGCAAATGAATTTTTTTCTCCTAAAGGACAAACTTGTGTGTAAGAGAACATTCCTTGTGCTGGGGTTGTCTGTGCTAGCTGTGTTCAGCAGTGTGCATTTTGGTTTCCCTGGATCAGGAGGACTGTGCACGTTGGTCATGGCTTTCCTTGCAGGCATGGGATGGACCAGTGAAAAGGTGAATTTAATTTTAAGTTTTTCTGCTCATGACTCTTTTCTAATGAGATTAAGTTTGCTTTCCAGATACTTTCTTAGTATCAAATTAATAAAATATTTCATTATAAAAGCTGTATTATATGCATATGCAAATGTATACCCAATGTTCATCTTTTTTTTCTCCTTACACATTAATCTATAACTTGATGCCTTTACTTAAAATATATCACGGTCATACTACCGTAATGCCTTCCTTATTCTTTGTAATGACTACAGAGTATTGCATTTTATAGATATTTACGTTGTTTCTAGTTTTCTGCCAAGATAAACAGTGCTTCAATAATATATCCTTACATACCATATTTCATAAACTCTGAGTCTGTCAATTGTAAAAAACACAATTATTTCATATGCCATCAAGAAAGAAAAAAATTAGTGCCAATTAAACTATAACATAACATTCTAATTTCAGAAATGTTAAAATATAAAAATATGTATCTTAAAATCAACAAAATATAGCATATATTTTAGTTTATACAATAAATTTCTAGAAATAAGATTGCTCTAGGAAAGAGGACTCATATTTATTCTTTTGATACTGTCAATTTGACCTTTTAAAAGACTGTACCAATTTATATTTTTACCAATATTATGTGAGAGGATCTGTTTTTCTGATCTGAGTATAAGTCTTTGAGATATTTGCTGATATGAATTAAAAATATATCTCATTATTATTCTGATTTTCATTTCTTTATGGGCAATGCTAATCATGTTTTCATATGATTACTACCCAGTTTGTTCAAAAGCCTTTGCCATTTTTATGAGGTTGCTTTGGTTTTTCATACTGATTTTCAAGATTAAGAATGTTCATTTCGTTTATATGTATTATGGAAATTCACTGATTGTCATTTATTTATTTTAATTTCCAGATGCATTTTTGTAGATTTCAACCTGATAGGATCGTATGCTATTCTGCTTAACAAAGATGTTGGTGACCTAAAATAAATGCAGCTGTGTCATTTTGAGATAATCTTATAAAGCCTGAAGACAGCTGTTCAAAATAATTAAACTTAAATAATTAAAATAATGCCATATGAAAAATATGGAAACGTTATAAATTTTGAAATGAGATACATAATCATAACTCAATTAAGTGGATCTCTGTGGGGATCTTCCATAGATAACATTCATTTTGGGTAAATAACATTCATTCTCATAACAGTGTAACAGAAATGCTTTCTGTCACCACCTCTTTAAAAATCTTTGCAAATTGAAAGCAACTCATTATATTATATTGTCATGGGTAAAAAGATAAAAAGGAATTAATAAATTTTTATTGCTACTCTGTGTGGCTCTGTATGAGGCACTAAGTGGATGTGGTCATTTATTTTCACAAAAATACCTTTGAAAAAGTATTATGATTTCTACTTTATAGAAGCTATGAAGTAGAAAGACTTAAATAATATGTCCAAGGTCACAAAATTAGAAAATGGCACTGAGATTTAGGCTCAGATTTATTTGACTCCAAGGTGACTTATACTATGCTGTAGTACAACTGTAGCATTATTGTACGTGACACAATTTTATATTTTGACATCTGTTTGAGTAACACCATGTGTATTAAAACATAATTCTAAACTTTTACAGTTTAAAATTTAGTTTCTAAATTCATAAATGATAGGATAAAAAGAGTAAACAATGAGAAGGAGCAGTATCATTGAAACAGAGCATAAAAAAGTAGTTTTAGCAACAGGGAAATCAAGGAGAGACTGATACCTCCAGCAAGTGGGCACTGGATAAGAGCACAGAAAGAAAAAGGAGGGAAAGGGAAACTGTAATCACTTCCAATTACACTGTATTCAGAGAAACTGTAATGTGGTTATCTAGAAATGATTCTTATAAACCAAACCATTGTTCCCTTTGTTTACATTTCCTGTAGCCCTGCTACATAGAATGTCAATGTAACCCCACAACCAGAAAGATAACTATTAACATTTTTTTAAATATTTACGTCTAGTGACTCTCCTATGTGAATCTCTTTATCTACACACATGGATGCACCATAGTTGTTTTTTTTTTTTTTTTTTTTTAGCCCATTCCTTTATATATAGTTATAAGGTTATTTCCAATCTCTGCTACTTTAAATTGTGCTGAAATGATCAGAAATTGATCACTTCCTTAAGGAATATTCCTAACAGTAAAATTTGGGGGTCAAATAATATGAACATTTTGAGATTTTTGACACATATTACCAAACTGCTTTCTAGAGTTCTATCCATTTACTTTTCTTCCAGTAAAATATGAAGTACCTGGCTCATTACAACTTCACTTTAGAATAGTTTTCTCAAACTTTAGCAGAATTACCTAGAAGGATTGTTAAATTAGAGTTCTGGGCCCTACTGCAAATTTCTGATTTTAGACCGTGGTGGAGCTTGAGAATTTGTACTTCTAATTAATTTCCAGATGAGACTGATGCTGCCAGTCTAGGGACTACACTGTGAACCACTGGCTTAAAATATTATTACTTTTAGGCCAGGCGCGGTGGCTCAAGCCTGTAATCCCAGCACTTTGGGAGGCCGAGACAGGCGGATCATGAGGTCAGGAGATCAAGACCTCCTGGCTAACACGGTGACACCCGGTCTCTACTAAAAAATACAAAAAAAACTAGCCAGGCGAAGTGGCGGGCGCCTGTAGTCCCAGCTACTCGGGAGGCTGAGGCATGAGAATGGCGTGAACCTGGGAGGCGGAGCTTGCAGTGAGCCGAGATCCGGCCACGGCACTCCAGCCTGGGCGACAGAGCGTGACTCCGTCTCAAAAAAAAAAGAAAATTATTCCTTTTAATCTCTAGCCACACTAATAGGTAAAAAGTTGCATCTTGTTTATTTTGTGTTTCTTTAACAGTGAAATTGAACAGTTTTTCACATAGTTAGCCACTTGTATTTTTTTTCTTTTTCTTTGATAGGTCTTTTGTTCATTATCTTCCAAAGCATAATGTGTGTTGATTGTCCATCTGTAAGATACACCCCCAATACACACATCTATATAAGTGATGACACAGTCTTCATTACTCTGGGCTTATCTTTTATACAAAGCATATTCAATGACTCCATTTTCTTTATAGGCAAATTCATTTTAGTTTTGACATTATGAAAAACCCACAAGAAGATACGTTGTAACTTTTCTGTGTTTTCCTGTGTTTTGCAATATATAAGCCCATGTCTGATATTCAACTAAAGTGTTATAATCAAAATATAAATTGTGGCCTTTGTCTGCACTTTAGAAATAAAAAATAATTTGATACAGAAATCTTTTTAGTCCTTCTACTTTCATTACTATTCTGAGTGTATGAAACATATTCGAGGACTTCTGTTAAACGATTAGTCCTAGCAACAAAAGTCTAAGTAATCTTTGTACCTTTTTATATTGTTCACTTTTAACACTTAGATATTTTACATTTTAATGTAGTCAGATCTATCAGTCTCTTATAATAGTTTTAATTTTTTTGAAGAGCTCTTTGTTAGTGAAATGTATGTTATTTATTCTTAACAATAATCTTGAAAGGTAAATATTACAGCAACTTTTAAAATTAGGATACCAAGGCTTACAAATACTAAGTGTATTGTGAAGGTCAAAAATATTTGACCAGAGGACAAAAAGTAAGTGGCAGAGCCAGGATAAGAATATACCATTTGAGGCTGGATGCGGTGGCTCACACCTGTAATCCCAGCACTTGGGGAGACTGAGGCAGGCGGATCATGAGATCAGGAGCTCGAGACCAGCTTGGCCAACATAGTGAAACCCCATCTCTACTAAAAATACAAAAAATTAGCCGGGCATGGTGGTGTGCGCCTGTAGTCCCAGCTACTCAGGTGACTGAGGCAGAGAATTGCTTGAACCTGGCAGGCGGAGGTTACAGTGAGCCGAGATCGTGCCATTGCACTCCAGCCTGGGTGACAGACCAAGCCTCTATCTCAAAAAAAAAAAGAAAAAAGAAAAAAAGAATACACCATTTGAATATATCAAAATGGTTCCTCAAAGAAAGGAAGGAAAAGTAATGTTTATTGACTCTGTCATGTGGCAGGCACTCTCCATATCTTTTCTAATTTAGTACTCAGGAAAGTTCTTATTCCTGTAGGAACCAAACCAAAGTTCTGAGTTTGGATTCCTCTTCTTACCTTATTCTAAAGGATAGCATAGGGCCAAGAGCTCCGACTCCTCAGGCCAATCTCAACTCTACAGCTTTTACTAGGTGTGTTTGACCATGTACAAGTTATCTAACTTCCCAGTGATGATGACAAACAACTTCACTGACTGGAGGATTAGGTAAAATAACCTATACAAGGTTTAAGATTTCTATGATTAAGAAAAGTGCTTAATCATAGAATACATTCAGTAAATAATAACTCTTATTATTTTTATAGTTACCTCCAGAACAGCATGATATCATACTAAGAGCATAAGATTTAAAATATGGAGATTGGGATACCAATCCCAGTTCTACAACTTTCTAGCTGTATAATCCCAAGCAAGTCATTTGCCTTCTCAAATAGTTTTCTCAACTCTGAAGTGAATACAATAATCATCTAAAAAATTGCTGTAACTATTATGTGAGAAAATGAAAATGACACACTTGTCAGTTCTATAGTGCTGTAGCAATATTGTTGACAAAGAAGGTTGATATGACAAACTGCTGAATATATTAATAGTAAGTCCTCATTTTAGCACTGTCAGTAGGTTCTCAGAAGCTGCACCTTGAAGTGAAAGGACAAATAACAAAACCAATTTTACCATAGGCCAATTGATATAAACAAGAGCTAAGTTCCTAAGGCATATTTCTGGTCACAAAAACATCACCAAACTTCTGAGTAAAAAGCAAAACACTGTGAATATTAAACATTGAAATAATTGTGATCTACACATACATTTCAGAAAGGTTAATAAAAACAAGTAAGATAATAGGCCTGAGCCTATCCCAGAGGCTGAGGGCACAAGGCAGGCACCAACCCTACACAGGATGCCGTC